AACAATTACTAAAAAAGAAAGAGTCCAGGAGGCCGATGGTTCAGAGCAGCAAACGCCAGGCTTCTAAAATTGCTTTATTTCATGGCTGCAATCACCATCCCTGTGAATGTCAAGCCCAGGAAGATGAAGCCTGTTACTTCTTCAGTGTATATGTTGTAATATTTATTAATTGCAGAAAGAAAATATAATCTTGTCCCTGGAGGACAAGCTAGTCCTACAAATGACAGCACAATCTGTGGGGAGGCTTCTTCCTGTGTGCCCGTGGGCACTCTTTTGTGGTACCCCATCATGGAATGCAAGCTCTGAGACCAAAGGCAGCCTACACCAGCACAGAACAAATAAACAGGCGGGGGGAGGCACACAGGGCCCAGTTCTGGCTTCCCTGGCTGGGCCCTCCAGGTCAGCAGCACCCTGGGTAAGAAGGATGTGGGGCGTTGGATTGACAGCAGGTATCCCCAGAGGGGGGAGGATGGGCTGGCAGCAAGCTGGGCAGGGTCCTCACCCCCAAATGGCCTTGGGCTGTAAGTGACTGTCTTAGAGAGGAGGAGGAGGAGGAAGGTGGGGATTAGGACCAGGGGAAAGGCTGAGGGGCTGGGTCCAACATGCATCTCCCCTCTTGCCCAGTGGGGTGGGGAGGCTCTGTCTGGCTTCCCTGTATTTCGGTGAAAGGCACATGCCCACTGTGAGAGATGCAAACATGTCAAGGCTGATACAATAAGAACCGACACCCCCCAACAGCCCCTTCATCCACACCCACATTCATAGCCATTCATATTCATTTATTCACATTCATAGCAGCAGCAGCAGCAGCAGCAGCAGCAGCAGCAGCAGCAGCAGCAGCAGCAGCACAGTGGGAAGGGGTGGGAAGGACTGTCAGAGGACAAGCCCATTTTGATAGCGTCCCCATGTTAAGCGCACCTTCCAAACATCCTCTTGCCCGAAGAAGGCCTGCTGGCACCTCTCAGCCCCCATGGTTTGGCGGGGGTGCAACGGCCAGGAGGTGCCCACGGAGTCTCTCATGGCTTCTGCCTTCGGGAATTGGAACGCTTTGCTCAAGCCTGGTGCATTTCCGTGAGCTTTACGGTCACCCGGCCTCGCTCTGTGCTTTAGTCGGGGACTCCAGAGTAGGACTCCTTGACCTTCTGCTCTTGGCTGCATTCACCCTTCTCCATCCCCTGGCATAGCCAGGGAAACCCAGAGATGAAATGGGAAGAGGAGGCCACTGTCCTTACACTGGGACCCCTGGATCCCCGGGGGGGTTGAGCAAAGGGCCGCCTGGGAGGGTCGATAGGGCCAAAAAGCAGGGAACCGCACTGCCTTTGGGGACAGGGAAACCCCGGAGAGAAACTTGGGATACGCTCGGTGCCGTGCATTAACACTTAAATAATCAAAGGTACTTAAAACAATGATCAAGACAGATGGCCTCAAGAGCTAATTTATTCCACAGTTTCCTTAAATCGCCCTCCCCCCAAACATCTCACAAATCCCTGATACTATTCTCAGAAAAAAAGAAAGAAAAAACAGAACACAGCAAACAAGGCGGGGCAGTAGGAAAGACGGACTCCGTGCGGCATCAGCTCCTGTTTGGGAGGAGAAAGCGGTGCGAATACACGTACAGGCTCAACTTGGGCACCTTCCCCTTGGAGAAGAAGGTCTTCCACTTGAGGTAGAGGGGGCCGAAATGGGCAACTCCTTGCATCTTGAAGGGGTGCACATTGTTTTGGTAGCTGAGTGGGATGACGTGGTGGAAGGAGGGTTGCGGAGGCCGAAGCCGAGCGGAGTGAACGATCATCTCGTAGAGAATCCTTTGGCCCAGGTTAGCCTGCGCCGTCTTCAGCTTCAGGCGGTTGCTCGTGACATATTTGCGCTGGCGATTGTCACCCACCAAGAGCTGTTGGATCATGGCCCGGATCAGCGGGTTGCTCATGCCGTAGAGGTCGAGCAACTTGGAAGCCTGCTCCTGCCAAGTGGCCGGCTCCACTCCCTCCTCCTTCATGGACACAATGGACTGGAAGAGCTCCATAAACCTCTCCCAGTCCACCCCCTTGCCATCGTCCAGGCGGAAGATGTGCTGCCGGCCCCCTCGCCTGAGCATTCTCCGATGGAGACGTAAGGTGGGCTTGGTCGTCTTGTACAGAGCGTCCTTGGGCAGGCGGTACCGCTTGGGCCGGGGAACCGCCAAGGCTGGGGCCAGCTCATCCTCCATCTGCAGGATGGCGTGCCAGGCCTTCTCCCACTGTTGGCCCATGGACCACGTCAGCTTCCCACGGTCCCTCCTTGCCTTTTCCTTTGCCACGGACTTTCTCCTCCTGCCCTCCTCCATACCCTCTCCCTCTCCCCACTCCTCCTCCTCCTCCGCCTCCTTCCCTACCCCTGGCCCCCTCTCCTTGTCCCTCCCCTGGTCTGCCCCCTCGGGGAAGCCCAAGACAATGGGCCGTGACCTGAACTTGAGGTGCCTCTCCCTTCGCTGCTGCTCGAGCCTGTCCCGCCGAGCCCTCTCCTGCTCAGCCTGGATCTTCCCAAAGGCCTGCTTGAGCTTCTTGGCTGCCCAGGCCCTCCGGCCCAGCCCCAGGCCCCGGCCCCGGCCCTCATCCCGCTCCCAGTCCTTCTCGGCCTTCTGCTGCCAAGCCTTCCGCTGGGCAGCGTTGGCCAGCCTTCTCTTCAGGTTCCTGGCCTGCAGCACAGCCAGGGCGGACTTCAGGAGCTTCTTCATCTGGGCAGCCAACTGCTGGGGGCTGGTGCTCCAGGGCTTATGGGCCTCCACCGCTTTCCTGAGACGGGCAAACACCGACCCTTCTTCTTCAGACAAGGACTCTGGCCTCTCCTCAGCTTCCTTTAGCAGTTCCTCAGCTTTCTGGAGCAGAGCTTCAGCCAGCTCCTGGATGTCTGCTGTTGAGGTGACCCGGAGCAGGGACGCCACTCGGAAGAGCTGCTGAAAGGTGGAAGAATCCTTCCTCTGCAGCTTCTCCGGTTCAGTCAGGATTTCCAGGAACAGCTGGGCCAGGTCGGTCAGCTCAGGCTCTGACTCCGGAGCCAGGTCCATCTCCCACATGGTCACCAGGGCGTCCCTTTCGTCTTCGGAGAGGAACCAAAAGCTCTCGTCGTCGAGGGCCTCCAGGGAGCCCATTGGCCCTCCGTCAAAGAAAAATGCACTCCTGCTCTCTGCCCGCTCTTCTTCCTCCAGCTCCAGCTCCTTCTCCATCTGTTTTGCCTGGGCCAGGAGCTGGGCTCTTACCTCAGCCAGCTCCGTGAGCCTTTCCTCGGGCACCTCCAGCGTCGCCGCTTCGGCCAGTTCCTGGGCCCTTGCCTTGGCCAGTTCCTGGGCCCTTGCCTCCGCTAGCCCCAGAAGCGCCATCTCGTCTATTTCTATGGGCTCTTCCTCGGCCAGCTCCAAAACCCTTGCCTCATCTGGTTCGAGTTTGGTGGACGCGGCCAGTTCCTTGGCCCTGTCCTTGGCCAGCTCCTTGGCGATTGCCAAGGCCAGTTCTTGTACCCTCTCCTCTGCCATTTTCCCCTCCAGCCCTTCGGCCTGGACGATCTCCTGCGCCTCTTGCAGTGCCCTCTCCATCACCTCCTCCAGCGCCTTCTGATGTGCTTCTGCCAGCACCTTCTCCCAAGCTTCGGCCAGGGCCTTCTTTCGGGCCGCGAGCAGTGCCCGGTCTCTGGCCTCGGCCAGGGCTATCTCGCGAGCTTCGGCCAGGGCTCTCCCTTTCACCTCTTCCAGGGCGGTCCTCTCTGCTTCCACCAGAGCTCTTGCCTTCAGTTCATCTAACATTCTGGCCTTGCCTTCTGCCCGCATGTCAGCCAGTGTGCCCTCCGACACCTGTGCCAGCAGCATCCTCTCGGCATCCGTCAGGAGGGCCTTCTCCTTCAGCTCTTTCTTGCCGGGCAGCTCCTCCTCCTCCTCCTCCTCCTCCTCCTCCCCCCTCCTCCCCACCTTTTCCTGGCCAGCAGGTCGTCCGGCCTTCCGCTTGGTCACTTCTTTGTCCTCCCTTTCAGGGGCCTCCCGTTCTTTCAGCCTGATGGGCTCCCGTACTCTGCCTCGGGGGAGCTCCCCTTCTTTACCCGGGGTGGGCTCCCCTTCTTTTCCCCTGGGAGGCAATTCCTCTTTGCTCTGGGCGAGCCCCCGCTCTTTACTCCCAACCACCGACTCCTGCTCCTTCCGTTGGGCAAACTCTTCCGTCCTCGCAGCCCACCTCTCGGCCTGCTTCGCAGCCCGCCTCCCCTCCTTTTCAGAGGCCACTTTGGGTGCCTTGCCCGCTTTTGCTCCAGGCTGCTCGAGCCTCTTCTTCTTCTTCTTTGCCACCCTTCCCTCCGCAGCTTCCTCGCCCTCGCCTCCCTCCTCCTGGCTGAGGTCGGGGCTCAGAACATCCGTCTCTGAGCTGCTGAGCAGGTCAGCGGCTGTCCTCACAGCCACGACCGTCTCCAAGCTCTCCACGGAAGGCTGGAGCCAGGACTCCTTCAGTGAAGCCTTCAGGAAGTTGTCCATATATTGCTTCCAGCCGGGGGCCTCTGCGGCCATCCTCTCCTGGGAGGCGAGGAAGGCCCGGTTGAGGCTGGCCAAGGCCTCCCAGGACACAGTCTGGCCAGTGAGGGCTATTCGGGCGGAGGCCAGGAAGTCCTCTGCTGCAGTGCGCCCTTCCACCGAGGGGGCAATGCGAAGCATCATTAGCTTGTAAAGGTCGTCGCGCCACTTGGATTTGTCAGCCCCATACTGCCGATGCGGGTCGATGAGGCTGCCCCTCCCAGGGGGCTCCGGGGGCAGCGTGGGCAGCTCAGGCTGGCTGGCCTTGACCTGCACGAGGCTGCTCACTACCTTGGCTTCTGCTGGCGCAGCCACCGCGGGCTGGTCCTTCCGGGCCTTCTTCAGCATCTCCGTGTACAGCTGAGTGCGGGTGTCTCGGCGCTGCAGGAGGATGGGCTGGGGCTCCTTGCGCCCCTTCCTGAGCCTGTGGGCTTCTTCGGAAGGTGTGCGCAGGGCCTTGGGCTGCCGCAGCTGCTCCCGTCCTCGGAGCTCCTTCTTCGTGCGCCGCACCTCCCGCCACGTGGCGCTGCTGCTGGCACTGCTTGTGGTGGGGGAGGTGCTGCCAGGGCTGCTCTGGCTGGGGCTGCTGCTGCTGCTCTCGGAGGGGACCGCTTCGCTGGGCAGAGGGATAGTGACCCCCTTCCCTCGGGCCTGCTGGATGCGAGGGAGCTTCTGCGGGGTGCGCTGCTTGGCCTCCTCAGCGCCAGCTGTGGGGGCAATTGGAGAGACAAATGAAAGGGGAGGGCTGGGAGCCAGCCAGCACAGGCTTCGCTCGCCCAGGAAGGGTCCTGCAATTCCCAAGACCACCACCCACGTTAGGGCCCCCGGCCTGCAAAGGGCTTTCTCCAGCCCCACTGAGAGAGGCCCGCCACCTGGTTATGGAATGCTGCCCCTGTGCCCCAATTCAGGGGGTAGCTATACTTGTTTCACACCAGCCTCTGAGTGTTCCTGAACAGAGCTTTGTTTGGCCTAGTTTATTCGCTTTATACTTCTCGTGGCAGTTGGGATGGGTCCTAAGATCCATGATGCAAGGTAGGCTAGAAATATTTCACAATAATGTTAATGATTAAACAAATAAATAAATGTCATATCCCATGAAATTAAGGGCATCTTGTGGGTCATTACCAGCAAGGAGGACAGCAACACTTAAGTTAAATAAAGAAATGGCATGGAAAACCACATGGATGGAAAGCCCTGAAACCATGACAAAAACGAGTCAAGCCCAAATGGCTTTCCGTTCTGCGAAAGCCTTCCAGAATTAAATCAGAAGAGGCAGCTCCACTCCGTCTGTGGCATCCAGAAGTCATTCCTAGAAAATGAGGTGCCTAACCAAGAAAGCTCGAGGGAGCCCAGGCCCGGCTGCAAGGCTACACGCCCTTGCTTTGTGTAGAAATCCCACCAAGTCAGTCATCATAAAAAGGACCTGAAATCACCATGAGCAGCCCCCCTCCCAAATAGGTTTCTGGCCACCCACCTCATCTACTGAATCCTTATGTGAAGAGGAATGTCCTTTTCCAGAGCAGCAGGAATTCTTCCCAGTCAAAGCAAATGCTTACTCAGGATAGTGACCCTAGATGAAGTCGCCCTTCAGGATCCAGCGCTCCAGATTACCATGAGCTTTGGGATGCCCCCAGCAACCCGCCGACATCTCCCGGAGCGTGGCCACAGATGCTGCCCTCAGTTCCCTCGAGAGCCCACAGGAGGACACGGTGGGGGCTGCATGGAAGCCCCACTGCTCCCATGGTACAAGGGGGCTCTTACCTTCAGCCTCAGCCCCTTTCTTCTGGGGCTGTCCGAAGAGCCCCAGCCACCGGGCCTGAGCTGCCTCTGGGCTTTCTGGCTCTCTGTACTCCTCTGACGGCTTTGCAGAGAGGCGCTTGCGCCGGGAAGGGGGAGGGTATCCCACAAGTGAGGCTTCTGGCAGAGGGCACTCGCTCATTAGGAAGAGATTGGCCGTCAGCTGATTCTCTACACAGTTCATCAGCCTCTCCGCGCCTTCGGTCAAGGCGTGTACTGCTTCATCCTTGGACTCTGCTATGATGCCGGCAGCACGCACCCTGCGAGGGAAAGCCCCCTTTTCTGTCTGCCTCATCACCGTCCTAGAAGAGATAGAGATACACCTGCTTGAAGGAAAGGTGGGAAGGGTGAGGTGACGGAGCCGGATGGAGGGTCCTTCCCTACCCTGGGAAATGTTCCTGCTCCAAAGGAAGATAACCATTGCTAGGTTCCTTGCAGGACTACCTGGCTGGAATTGGAGGCTGCCCTAGTGCGTCTTCAAGGCCAGGGACCCTCGATGCCTCTGTCCTCCAGGAATGTATACATTTCAAATTCAAATATCCTTGAAGAATATCCGGAAGCTACAGCTGCTTCAAAATGCAGCCGTGCGGGCAATCTTGGGTGCCCCAAAGATGGCACATGTTACACTTTTGCTGCGGGAGCTGCATTGGGTGCCAGTTTGCTTCCAGGTCCAATTCAAGGTGTTGGTTATCATCTTTAAGCCCTACGTGGCATGGGACCGGGTTACCTGAGGGACTGCCTCACCCGCATTATATTGACCTGTCCCACCCGGTCAAGCAGAGGGGGTATGCTGCGGACCCCGTCAGCGAAAGAACGTCGACCGGTGGGACCCAGAAGGAGAGCCTTCTCTGTGGTGGCCCCCACCCTATGGAATGCCCTCCCTCCAAATGTGAGGCAGGCCCCTACTCTCTTGACCTTCAAGAAGGGGGTGACCTGGCTCTGCCAACTCGCGTGGGGCGAGAAGAGGGGCAACCAAACCTGGGGGTGGCTAGCGCTTCGACGATGCTCCTGCAGGTTAATATCCTTATCTACCAGCAGCACCTTGGAAGATATTATTATTTATGTATGAATGGTTTTTATTGTATTTTAATTAATATTTATTCTTGTTTTTACTGTAAACCACCCAGAGTCACTTTCTATTGAGATGGGCAGTGACCAAATTTGAAATATACACAAACAAATAAATAAATAAATCCAAGTTAATGGCCATCTTGTGGGAAGCAACTGCACAGGTTAATTACCTGCTACAACGTTTGGCAAGAGACGCTTCCAGAAACCCCCTCAAGGCCATAGGAGAGGTGCCTGGTCCCCAAATGCACTAAAAAGAGTGGGGGCATACCTTTTGCCCCACCCCCACCCCCACCCC